GTGTGTGTGTGTGTGTGTGTGTGTGTGTGTGTGTGTGTGTGTGTGTGTGTGTGTGTGTGTGTGTGTGTGTGTATCATGCGGCAGACTTCCTGTTGCCATCATCCATAGGATGAGAGAAACCGAATGATCCCAACGCTAGATCGTGGAAATGTACTCGACTACGTTTGTGTGTGTGAATATGTGGGCACGCGTGTATGTATATGTATGTGTAAGGGTGAGAGAGAAAATGTGTGCCTATACCGTAGACCAGGGAGATAGTTTGTATACAACCATGATTACTCATACCGTCATTATTTTGTTATTACTATTATTGTTATTATTAGTGATCTTATAACTATTATTATTATTGTTGTTATTCTTATAATTATTTTATTACCACAATCTCCTTCTAAATCCTCAGGCACGCCTAAAATCTCGGCTAAATACGTCGGGGGAACCACACAGGAGAAAGCAAGGGGGCACAAATGTGTGACAGGCAAAACGTCGAGGAGAAGGAGGGATCGGCGGTGCAGAAAGGAACATTGCAGGAGGGGAGTGGAGAGGGACGTATAATGATGGAAAAGAGATCACTGGGCCGAAGAAAGATGGTAGCAATAGGCAGGAAGGAGAGGAAGCTGCATGCGCGCATGTGCCACGACTCCCTTATATTTTTGTTATTATTATATCTCGATTTGTTTGAATCTAGCCACTATTACGACGGTGTACAATCGGAACTAGCAAGGGGGCACGTCTACAGAGCTACTACTGTTATAGGTGGCAGTACACTATGGGTAGGTGGGCGTTTTCTTTTTTTTTTAACTTGTGATTGGTGTAATTCTATGGGGTTCTGGGTGAAGGAGTGTAAGTGCGGGGTTATGATCGGTCGGGGCGGAGGAGGGGGGGGGTTTGGTGGGGAGGTTGGTAGGAGTGCGTTGCTGGTTAAGTGAGGGGTTTTTTACTCAGATCTTGTGGTTGGTGTAAGTTTATAGGTGCCAGAGTAGCGAGTTCAATCGTGGGGCTAAGGTCGATCGGGGTGGAGGAGGGGGCGGTGCGAGGGAGTTTTATAAAGTGTAAGGTAAGTATATAGATATAGGTGTGGAGGAGTGTAAAAAGCGGGGCTTGGACTGACAGAGGTGGAGGAGGGGGTGATGGTGGGGAGGTCGATAGGAGTGCGGAGTTTTATTAGTTGTAGGGTAGATATATAGATATAGGTCTAGAGGAGTGTAAAAAAACGGGGCTTTGGCAAACAGAGGTGGAGGAGGGGGAGGTGGTGGGGAGGTCGATAGGAGTGTGAGGGTGTTTTATTAGGTGTAAGGTAGATATATAGTTATAGGTGTAGAGGAATGTAAAAAACGGGGCTTGGACTGATAGAGGTGGAGGAGGGGGCGGAGGTGGGGAGGTCGGTAGAAGCACATTATGGTTAGGCAAGGTAGTCCTATCAAGAGTGATATAGCATTTCGATCGTGTATCCCAGGATCTACGACGACATATTAGCAGATCTAAGCACGTTGTGACAAAAGCATAGCCATCACATTCATACTGTCAGGTGGGGAATCTACCCATACCATTGTATCAAGGCTCAAGAGTCAGTGTGTGTTTTGTGAGACAAATTGCAAAGCAATTGCACAACCTGGCCTAGCCAGGAACAGTAGTGAGACGAATAGCATGCAAAGTCACAAAACAAGCAAAGCATCATGCTATCTAATCGCATGGGTCACCATTGTACACCTACAGCCATAGCTCACATCCTCCTATTATCACAATGCCTTTTACCAGGGGGGGGAAAAAGAAAAGGAAGGAGGGGTAGGGAAGGGGGACCGAAGCTGAGGAGAAGGAGGTAGGAGAAGGAGGTAGGAGAAGGAGAAGGAGAACCTTCTTCGATAGGACCGATCTCCAGATCGAGGAAGGAGGGTGGCGCATCCCTGAAGCGCTTTTCGCCGTTTGCGCCAAACGGCGAATCAGAGGGAAAAAGGACGAGAGTAGACTGCAAGTATGGGTGGCTTCCTACATCAACAGGCCCAATCGCCAGGGGAGTAGGGGCGGCCCAAGCAGTAAGTTTAGGTGATAGAGGTGGGTGCATATGAGGTGTAGGAGTTG